TGAACCTAAGAGCCACGTAAAAGTGAATCTGAAGCAATCTGATGAATCAGTCGTCACTGATAAGTAATATTTAATAAAGCTATAATTGATACCGCCAGTGCAGGTTTTTGCTATACACAGTCTTAAAAACACCACCTAAGGATTATTGCGCGAGATTCCAGCGCCGCAATGTGAGAATGATGTCATGAATATTCAAGTGCATATTGGATATTTTGGCCATATGGGCAGCCTCGCATTTTGTAAAAATCCTCTGTTAATTCTCAGCAGTACGTACGACAAAACCCAATTCACATCTGCTGCTAACTTCTGGTTTCATTTTTTTGTCTTTTGTGGCCTGAAAAGTGCTTTTTATTCCTCACTGCGCTACTTTTGCTGTTCCTGACACAGAGCTTACTAACAGGCGTGAAATCTTTTCGCTATTTAGTATTTCTTTAGGCAACTCTAAAATGCCGAATGCAAAGTAATGAAGAAAAAAAATTGTCACCTTTATACCAAACCTCTTCCATAGAAGGCGGTGAAAGCCGAATGGCAACACACACAATGAGTTGGCAAGTAGGAGGACCAGAATACATGCATGTCTGGTCATTCTTAGCTAGAAAATTGTTCAGTCAATGAGGTTTGGAAGCATTGGGCAAGTAGCGCCCTGGATAATAAAGTTATCACAACGCGAAAATCGATGGAAACTTCGCTGGCTATTGTAACACGGGACGAACAGGTGCGGGGCACATGAGCACAGGTCACTGCATTTTATTTTAAGCTTCAGGCGCTTGTGCTTTATCTGAAGATTTTCTTTACGTAGACAATAAACGACGTGTCGACGCAGTTGCCTCGGTGGATATAAGTTCTACCTCTGTTTTGTAACGTGTGCGTTGTATCATGAATAAGAGTGATCATTGTGACATTGTAACAAAAATATTTAAGGTAAAGGTAATCACAACACAGTGTGTGCAATAATACTTGGTACGACTATCGCGAGGAGACTGCAAATAAACGGAACCCGCACGATGGCCCCGAGCTTCTCGGGCCGACGCATTTCCTCGAAGCTCAGTCTACGGCCACCGTGGCATAGATATAGTGTGAAGCTCATAATAATAGCGCTGATAGAATGGCTAAGAGAACCTGTGTGGCATCTTAAGCTCATCTGGGGCATTTGAGGTGGTTATCAATTAAACAAGCCTGTGTACGCGTCAGAGCCGAAACTCGCTTAAAATTTGAACAGTGCAGCGACGTCTGGGGGATTGTCGATCTTTTTGCCAACTCAACACGGGCCTACCACAGGTGTTTTCGTGACCGTTTGTCCAATTTCGGGCAGGTTCTTTCCTTTCAACTGCAGCATGAAGAGAGAAAGAGAGGAAAAAAATGGCAGCATATCCACGGAGTGAATGATGGGGAGTGGGGCGAAGCATTCGTCCGCACATTCGTTCTTGCTTCCGTCCGTTCCTGCGTACGTCTGTGTAACCGTCCAGGCATCCATCCACCCGTCCATGCGTGCGTCTGTTCGTGCGTCCGTCCCTGCGTTCGTCCATGCATCCGCGCCTGCGTCCGTTCATGCGTCCATCCATTCATCTGTCTATGTGTCCGTTCGTCCATCTATTCAGATCATATAGTAGTTTTGGGACGTTAAACCCCACATATCAATCAATCAATCAATCCATCTATTCAGCACTCCAACTACCACCATCTCACAACTTTTCATCATATATTCTCCATATAGAAGCACCGCCATCCAGCGGACATTTCAAGGACTAAACGGGAGGTGGCACATGCACACTTTCTTACGGCTTGCGCTTCGGGTTTACTTCCCACCTGTAACCACCTCGAGTTCATGGTATATACTAGTTCACTGTATTCATGACTGTGCGGCCCAACGCTCGCTAAACCTTTATAAAACCAAAGAGGTCACACCGAGCAAGTATAACGTAGCAACCCTTTCTTGTCAGATCGTGCTCAATGTACATGCCAATAACTGCTAATGGGGATCGCAGCGTGCGCGTTACCTAAAGGCCGAATGCTCCTGTCTCTCATTCCCCCTTAGCAGCCATTAACATGTGCATTGAGCACTATCTTTTATTGTTCAACAATGCACAGAAGAAATCTCTCACCGGAACCACCTTGGAGGTCAAAATCGTAAGGAGCGCTATTTCGGGTATGTGCCACTGGTGGTTACGTATTACGAGGGACTCGCAAGCCACGCTATAAGGAGCTTCGCCCCTAATACCAAAAATGTGGGAAGGCTAACATAGAAATTTTCTTTCTAGAAGGCAGCAAGGGTGCACGCCTATAGCAGTGTCGCACTGCTCGCTGCGTTTCTATATCACTTATATAACACTCAGAAAAAAAGAGGTGAATACCCGTGCTGACAAAAGAATTGTTAAGGGCCTGTCCACGCACTACGCACACCGCCGCAACGCACGTGCCGGGTCTCTGCCGTACCCAAGCAGGAGGTAAAAGAGCGTCACCAATTCCCTCATTCGCTCCCCGCTTGGGTGCGGCAGGTGTTTCGGATGTTGTCCAATTGTACCCAAATTTCACATCTTTTGCGCTATGTGGTTTCGAAAATATTGGTAGTGGTGAATTGTGAAGATTGTATTCTACACAAACTCTATAGCTTTCATCGTTAGTTATTTGAAGAACTGCGTTGAGAATCAATGGTGCCAATCTATTAATAAAACTTACCAGTTTGCAAATCCTTATAACTGGCTGTAAGTAATTTATATTGGTATAGCCGGAAATATGAAATATAAGTGTGATAACCAGAAAGCGGAATGTCAGAGGAAGACTGGCAAGCAGCTTCCCACTGATCAAGCAGAAAATAACACAAGAAAAGAACCCTTCGGTACATATGGGACGAGCGCAAACTGTCGCAGTTCCTTGAATCAGCCCCTGCTTGGACTATTCTGGCGAGCAATTTAGTCTTTGCGTAAATATAGCCTCTGGATCGACCAGAATCGCGTTTGTATGGGCCATGGCTTGAACGCAAGCTTTGCGGTGAGAGCACAAGACGCACAAAACTCTCCCTCAAGAGATAAGCGCGTGAGCACGAGCAACCACGCCCTGCATCTAAATGTACGCATTGGGGGCACACATTTCCACTCGGGCGAAGCACGAAAGGCGTATGGAATGGGGACCCAAGCAAATGGCGGTGATATTTTACTGTTCCTCCGCTGGCGTTGATTCAATTGACACTAAAATGAATAAATGGAACCTTTCATTCAAAGAAAAGGACTGCTTTGGGCAATAAAACTTCATTAAGGCGTAGTCGGTACTTATTATAAAGGCTAAAATACCAGCCCGAATGCATTTATTTCTTCTTAATACTACATTTTTACATGTTTCTTCACGCACCGATGAAAGTGCGATTTCATGTTTTCGTGTTCTTAATAGAATATCATCCTTCTGACACATCTCGATTTAAAGCGATTGTTGCGCTCGCATGTGTGGTAAGGTTACTTGCGTATTAAAATATGCAATGGCGTACAAAATATTATGAAGCCTTTGTTAGCCAGTGCTTGAGTCATACGCTTCTTTTTTTTTTCATGGGTGGCTTGTGTTCTCGCGGTAAAATTTTAGTCTCAAAATTCTGGTCATGGCGTCAGATGCATAGGTACCTCGTTTCTTCCCTGAAGTGGCACCGGCTTCAAAAAATAAAACGTCCAACTAGCTTGTGCCACCGCGGGGCACAAGACGTTCTTCTTGTTTCATGGTGACTATCGACTAACTATGAATGAAGCCGTGCTTCACACCCAATATTGAAAGCCAGTGTGGGGCGCCAGCTATACGATGCTGATTCAGCGTGGGCAACCGTGCAGAATGGCCAGGGTCTGGTGTAATTTTTATTTCACTACGTGTGGCGCCCCGCATGTTTTACCCAAAGCTGCGTACGTTTGTATTCTGCTGCTAGTATTCTGGAGAAAGAATGGCCCACGGCGTAACTGTCTATGGAAGCGTGCTATGGAGAAGCAGCTGTAAGATGGAATCCAAGATTGTGTGCTTGGCACTTTTTTCTAAACTGGTATTTAAGACTTTCGTGCTTATATACGCGGAGCTACGTATACGGGACGTGACGGTGACGTAGAAAATCCACCTAAAGTGTATATAAAATTGTTTTTGCAGTAAAAACCACAGATAGACGTGGCATCCAGAGCGTAGGCAAGGTCAGTGCTTCACATTAGCGTAAAGGCTGTTTTTCATGCCGTGATTGCAGCAAAAAAAAAGTTGTTTCGTTCGCTCCATTCACTCTGTTCCCAACTGCCGATATTGGCGGTTTTGTTTCACATGCATCGCGATCAGTTCATAATTTTTGCTCGGTAACTGGCGCGGTGAGTTCTTGCAACCCTTCTTTCTGGAAGACACCACACAATCTTTGGAATGTAATGTAATGATTTGTGCATTATTATATCATTAAGTTTGAATATACGGTAACAAAGAGACCGCATGTTTTGACGTTTAAGAACACTTCCTAATGTAAATTAATTTTGAAATGCACAGCATTGGCCATTGCGTCTATGCTATTTCGATGGCATAGCCGGCCCGCCCTATTTCGACAGGTCCCGACCGAAAATTTCTTCCGCCGTTGCGACCAGAGCGAAAATTTCCAACATGTTCGAAGCTCGCCGCGGACCTCTGCGGCGTGAGCGAACTGGCCTTTTTTTTTTCGCTGCGAGCGAATTTGCACACTGAAATTCGCAACTTTTTGTGTCCTGTGAAACGGTCTTAACAGAGTGGAACGGTCTTAACAGAGTGGATTCCAAGAGGATAGAAAATCATGAGCAGTAGAGAGAAAGTTAGGTGGGTAGATGAGAGTACGAAGTTTACGGGTATAACGTGGTCGCAGTACGCACACTATAAGGTTTATTGACGGAACATGCGAGAGGTCTTTGGCCTTCAATTGAAACTACAAGACCTATGATGATTATTATCATGAAAAAAACGCAGTGAGTAGGTAGCCACAGCCCCAAAATATTGCGAGGCGCCAGGCTCATACACAAACACTTTTGCGGTGAAGAGCAAAGACCTATTGGAGTATTTTATTGCTGGAAAAATCCTGGTTCTTGCTCACATAAATGTCTTGGAATGCCCATTGGCTTGGAACATGTTTATTGTAGCATTATTTTGTATTACGGATGTCGCGAAAATGCGTTTCAGTCAGTTAATGCGATTCGGGCAGCGATCGTTTGGTTGGTATAGCCCCGGCTTTCCCTTTGCTGCAAGTATACCCTGGCAGCTTGAGTCATATATAACTTTGCCATACTTCTCGTACTTCAGGTATTCCTGAACGCATTTGGGATGCGGTGGTCTTTGAATGTGGGAATTCTTGACTCGGAGATCATAGACGATATATCTACCTGTAAAAAAAGAAGAAAATTGTCACAACGTGACAAAACTTCCTGTTTCAATTATTTGATCGTAACGATATAAAACTACGAGCGACAATCCAGCACCAAGTTTACTTTAAAGGTGAGAGCACATAACAACGCTTGAGACTGTTATGTTTTTCGCGCATCCTAATAGTCAACAAAGTGATTACATGTTTTGAAAACTCAGAATATATTTGATAATGATAACAGAGTGTAAGATAGAGAGAGAGAGGCAAGAAAAGGCAAAGAGGTTGACCAGACTTACGTCTGGTATGCTAACCTGCAATGGGGGAAGGGATAGAAGAGGCAAGAACAGCGTGAAATTAAGGAGAGAATATATATCCTTCATTGATTAGTGTGTTTTTATACCTCTCCTGATACTGTGCTTTCCTTGGATAGCCATATAACAAAGGTATCTACTGGAAAGTGAAGACACAGATAAAAAGTTGCAGATCAAGGCATAGCCAAGAATCTTCCACTATTAGGCAGCTTAATTTACAAGCGCGACAATTCAGTGCCGAAATATGATATTGTCATGGGGTCGTGACAACGACGAAGAGAGAAGACAGTAGGTCGAAGATAAGACTGTTTATGCAGCCGAACTTGTGGCCACGAAAAAAGGAGTTCAGGTTACAGCAAGACACTGGCACTGATATCGGCGAACTAAGCGTCGGTCACCGATCAACTGACAAGCGGCGAAGCGTGTTGGCATTCGTACACTCGCCATGAAACATTTTAGCGTTATTGCTAGCGGCAGCGTAGATTCCAGAGTAATATGAAATGTTCACGGCGTGGTCGTAATCTCAGCGAAGCTATCTATGGCAGCCCTGAAGCTTCTCGAACACTTTAGAGGTGGTTTGTGCGGAGAATCGCTTACAGCGTAATGGGGTGATAAGAATGCTTGAGGAAGGAGCGTGGCATTGCCCTCCTCTGAAAAAGCCGTCGTCCCGATGCTGTAACACAAGATGAAAGTAAAATAACAATCTAAGAAAGTAGAAATAACAAAGTACAATACAGCAGTAATAAAAACAACAACAAAATACACTGTTTGAGTTCGTTAACGTTCATAAAACGGCTTCTACATGGAAGACTTCAGGTCGCAATCGGCGTCGTTTAGAGTTCGTTATGCCGTCGATCACAACCTGGTAGTCGAGTAGGCCAAGGCGTCCTACTACCCTGTATGATCCGAAGTACCGTCACAAAAGTTTTTCACTGAGTCCACGTCGGCATATCGGCGTCCATACCTAAACACGTTCACCAGGCTGGCATCACACGAAGCGTCGCCGAAGATTGTAACAGTGGTGGTCGGTCGTCTGCTAATTCGTGATGCGCAGGCGGGTGAGTGGACGAGCTTCTTGAGCGCACTAAAGATAGAGGGTGACGTAGAGGTTTTCTTCGTCAGTGACGTTAGGTAGCATTGCGTCGAGCGTCGTTGCCGGGTTCCTTTCGTAGACCAATGCGTACGGTTGCATCTGCGTCGTCTCCTGCATGGCCGTGATGTATGCAAAGTTCACGTACAGAAGAATGGCGTCCCACGTCTTGTGTTCGACGTCGACGTACATGGCCAGCATGTCGGCGATTGTCTTGTTTAGCCGCTCGGTGAGACAATTTGTATGTGGGTGGAAGGCGGTAGTGTGGTGGTGACTTGTCTGGCTGTGTCTCAAGATCACTTGAGTCAAATCAGAAGTAACGGCCGTACCTCTATCGGTTATTACAACCTCTGGGACGCCATGACGAAGGACGATGTTCTGAACGAAGAACTTCGCTACCTCTTCGAAGCTACCTTTGTGCAGAGCTTTTGTTTCGGCGTAGCGGGCGAGGTAGTCAGCAGCTACGACGATCCATTTGTTTCCTGAATTCGACATTCGAAACGGCCCCAGTAGGTCCATCCCGATTTCTTGGAACGGTCGGCGAGGGGGCTTTGCTCACCTAACGAAGGACGCCTGTGGTAAGGCGTGGCCATTAGCACCTTTCTTGTATCCTCGCGAGTGTGCGGTAAATACCAAGATGTCCTGCCTGCCGTTGGACCATCGTGCAGGGCCTGGAGGAGATCTGGCCGCAGAGCGGAAGGCGCCACAAGAAGGTATTTGGCTCGAAGTAGCGACAAGTTCTCCTTTTGTAGAAGACCGCTTCGCAGCAAAAATGATGTAAATGCCAGTTTGAATACCTTCGAAACAACGAAGGTCCTGCCCTCGAGGTACTCAATTGGGCTCCTGAATTCTGGGTCAGCCAACTGGCGTTCAGCGAAGTCGTCAATAGTTATCGTTCCCAAGAAGCAGTCGTCATTCAGGTCTTTGAGTGGTGATGAGTTGACGGGGGCTCGCTTAATGCAGTTGGTGTCGAAGTGTTTTCTGCCGGACTTGTAAATGACGGTAATGTCGTATTCTTGAAGTCTCAGGCTCCATCAGGAAAGGCGATCTGAAGGGTCTTTCAAGTTAGCTAGCCAGCACGAGGCGTGGGGGTCGCTCACAACTTTGAAGGGCCTGCCATAGAGGTAAGTACGAAACTTTGACGTCGCCCAGATGATGGCAAGGCACGACTTTTATGTTGTGAAATAATTGTTTTCTGCCTTGGATAGCGACCAGCTAGCGTAATTAATAACCCTTTCCTGTCCATCAGTTTTCTGCACAAGGACGGCCCGAGTCCTACTCTGCTTGCGTCAGTGTGCACTTCTGGTTTGGCTTTTTAGTCGAAATGCTCGACTATCAGAGGCATCTGCACACGTCGTTATAGTTCCTCAAATGCTTTCTCCTGTGGGGTTTCACACTTGAACTCCATGTCAGTTCTCGTAAAGTTAGTGAGTGGCTTGGCGATGCGGGCAAAGTTTTTGACGAAGCGCCTGTAATAGGCGCACAGGCCGAGAAATTGACGCACGGCCTCCTTGTCGGCGGGCGGCGAAAACGCAGCGATGGCGGCTGTCTTCTGTAGATCAGGTCTCCGGGCGTGCTTATCACGTAACCCAAGAACAAAATTTTCTCGTGCGCAAAGCGGCACTTTTCTGGCTTGAAGTACAGCTTCAAGGCGCCGAAAGTGCTCGCCGAAGCTCGAGGAAAACACGACGACGTCGTCCAAGTAAACGAGACAAGTTTGCCACTTCAGTCCTGCCAGCACTGTGCCCATGACGCGTTGAAAATCGCAGGTACCAAGCAAAGACCGAAGGGCATTACCTTGAACTCGAAGAGGCTGTCTGGTCTTATAAGCGCTTTTTTTCTTGGTCTATCTCATCTACACTGATCTACCAACAGCCTGTCTTGAGGTCTATCGATGAAAAGTATTTAGCGCTGTGGAACCAATCAAGGGCGTCGTCTATTCGGGGGAGAGGGTGAACGTTCTTCATTATCTTGTTAACTCGTTGATACTCAGCGCAGAAGCGTAGTGTTCTGTCCTTTTTCTTCACTAACACCAGCGCTGACACCGATGGACTCTTTAAAGGCTCGATAATGCCGCCACGAAGAATTTCGTCGACGTGTTTCTTTATGGCCTCGCGTTCTCGCGTCGAAACTTAGTACGGACTCTGAAGGAGTGGCCTGGCATTTTTTTCTATTATGATTCGATGTTTCGCGGAGGGACCATTGAATTCTCGATGACGACGAAAAGTCGTTTCTGCATTTATGGAGGAGGTTTCCGAGCTGCTCTTGTTTGTGTGTCGGAATGCTTGGATTAACGACGAATGTCGGTTTAAGGGTTTCACTCGTCGGAGTAGATAGGACAGAATCGGTGAGAATGAAAGCGTTGCTGGCTTCCAGTATTTCTTCGACTGAGGCAACCATCGTACCTTTGCTTACGTTCTTGCGCTCGTTGCTGAAATTTGTGAGCATCACGTTTCCTCTTCGCAGCTCGGCTATTCCTCTGGTGACGAAAAATTCGCGGTTGATGAAGAGCTGTTGGTCGCCTTCGACAACGCATTGTATGTCTGTCGATTTTTGAGTGCCGGCGGAAATGCTGACGCCGGAGCGAGGAGGTATGGTGACTTGGTCTTCCAGCACAGTCAGGAGTTGCCTTTGTGACGACCTGTGCGGCGGCAGTGTTTTTTCTGTGGATAGCGTTCTGGACTTTGTTCTTAGGTCCATGACGGCACCATGGAGGCTTAAGAAGTCCATACCAAGTATGACATCTCTCGAGCAATGCTGCAGTACGACAATGCTTGCAGGGTAAATTTTACGGTTAATGGTGACTATGGCTGTGCAGGTTTCTGCCGACGCAACTAGGTGGCCTCCAGCTGTACGGATTTCGGGGCCTTCTACAGATGTCCTGACTTTCTTTAGCTTCGCAGCGAATCTCTCACTGATGATGGAATAGTCGGCTCCGGTGTCGACGAGAGCTGTGACGCCGTGGCCGTCGATGAGGACGTCGAGGTCGCTAGTTCATCTCCTCGCGTTGCAGTTAGATCGTGGCGTTGGATCACGGCTTCGACAGTTTGTACCGCTGCTTCGACGTTGTGTCATGAACTCGTCTTCTGGCCCGGAAGTTTCCATGCCAGGGCAATGTTCATGTTGCAGCGAGTTTTCGAAGTTTAGTGGCAGCGTTGTCGCTGTCGGCGTAAGATCTGCGGTAGTTCGTCGTACAACGACCACATTTCCACCGCTTACTGCCCTTAGTTTCTCGGATAAGGGTTAGGAGACCGGCCCTAGCTTGGGCCAGAGCACGGCCGGTGGTGAGGCGACATGTAGCGGCCATGTGACAATGAACGAGATCCTCGGGGTGTCTACTGCGCTGTTGCAGGGTAGTTGGCGATGTCGCGGGGTTTTTATCCCGCTGTGGACGTGGCGCATCTGCGGGAAAACCATCTGACGCTATTGACAGTGGTGGTAGGTATGGCCAGCTTCTCCACAGTGGTAGCAGAGAGGTCGGTGGTTGGGGGCACACCACACGTCAGTTTTCCTCGGAGCGTTGCGCTGATCGGCGGATGGGCGGTATGGCATCGGCGATGAAACTCGACGGTGGGGCCTCTTGACGTGGGCATGGAGGGGGAGCGTAGCGTCAGGTCG